AAGTCCAATATGGCCCAAACTGAAGCCCAAAACATCCAAAGCCCAACTGACTGAGTACGTGCTTGTACGCCCAACATACTCCCTCATTCAGCTAACTTTCATTTCCAGCTCTTAATCCCTTAAGACTTTACTGCAAAACTTAGATTTGACTTCCTTGGGCCGATTTATCACGTAAAGTTGCTAACTTTACGTGCATATGGCTTAATGAAGCTCTTAAATCTCAAAAGGACTTAGTAGATGACTTAATGCATGCATGAGACCATAAACCCCATAAATTTTGCACCTTTTATCATAATGAACCCCCCCCCCCAAACATCCAGATCTACAAGATCTAGCTTCTAAAATGGCCTTAACCCATCAAGACTAACCAAAAGAGGACGGAGAAGCATAAAACCATAACCTGAAGAGATTTAAGCAAGGAGAAGACAAGGTATGAACTTGATACCTCAAAAGACTTGCAAAATGAGTGATGATTCTGGATCTCTAAGTTTCACACTAAGCAATGCACCTTCAATCTTCTTCAATCCCTTCAAAATGAGCAAAATAAGCACCGAATTCATCTCAAGAGCTCAAAGACACAACAATGGAGGCTAAGGGTCGAAATTTAGGGTTTTAGGCCAATGGAGGCTGGTAAAGAGGCCAAAACTAGAGACTTAGGGACCTTACATAAGGTGCAACACCCTGAAATTAGGGTTTCTTATCCACCACGTACGCCATGCGTAGTGTTCGTATGCCCAACGTACGAGGCCTCACATTCGCGATCAAACTCCTCCTTAGTACGCTAAGTGTATCATGTGGTACGCCCCACGTACTAACTCCAAGGGCCATTAATGCAAAACTTTAAGATATAAAGGGCAAAGAGGAGACATACTCATAATAAGTGCTACATTTGTTATTCCTTAAAATTCATGGCAGACACATGTAATAACATAGCTAACATAATTCGGGAGCTAGAAAAGAAAGACATCTATCCCAGAAAAGTTGTTATGAGGAAGCAGGCTCCAAATGAAGACTCTTGGAGTTGCGATTTATCTAAAAATGGTGAGTTTCAGGTAAAAGCCCTTTGAAACCTGTTAAAAAAACAGGCTCCGGTCGACACTAGTGGTCTCTGGTGGATAAAGAGGTCCCCATTAAAGTAATATGTTTCAATTGGAGGGCGAGAATGGGTAGCATTCCAACTACAGTGACTTTGTCTACCTGAGGAATCACTCTCCCCTCTCAACCTTGTTGTCAATGTGGTGTAGACGTGGAAACATGTAACCATATTCTAGTAAAATGCTCATTTGCCAAAACATTGTGGATTGGATTTTCAGGTGGTGTAACATTCCTTAGGCGGATTTCCAAATGGTCTATGACGTGCTAGATTTGGCATCCCATTGGGGTAACAATCCTAAGAAGAAGAATCGAGTGATGGTATTTGCTATGGATCTCTATAGTGTATATGGAAGGCGATGAACGAGAGACTTTTTATTAACAAGAGCGTGTGTGTTATAAAAGTGGCTAACATCATTAAGTCTAGTAGTCTACTATGTCTCTATGGATTAAACACCGGAGTATTAACGGTGGTTTAAGATGGTCAGATTAGACAACCCACCCTCTTATTGATTTGTAATGTTTTTGTTTTCCGCTTCATCTTTCCTTTGTAATCTCGTTTTGCCTTTTTCGTAGCAACTTGCTATGTTGGGGCCTTTTAATTCATATTCTCGTTGGCTGATATATATATATATATATATATATATATATATATATATATATATATATATATATATATATATATATATATATATATATATATATATATATATATATATATATATATATATATATATATATACATATATATATATAAAAAAAAGAAGATAAATGTTTATATCCGATTTAAAGAAGTTGGTAGGAATGATTGAACTTTATGGTTATAATTCTTAAAAGATCGGATTTAATGATGTCCATATATCATTTTAACCATGAATAATATCAAGCTTTATCTGGCGTGAATCAACATTTTTCAAGTCAATAGTTTGTTACAGTTCTATTTAAAATCTAAATTATGCGTAGACAGAGCAATAAATACCTTAATTATGTTTAATGTCATTAAAAATATACATATTTTTTAATATTCAAAATAAAACGATGACATAAAAACAGAAAGTTAAGCTATAACCAAATATGACTTCAATCTACATAAATTGATATCTAAATATAATTTACGATATTAATATACAATCTATTGAAACCTACGAAGACTGTATTCTAAAATGTAAGTCGTGTATCATATGACAATTGACATATGTTTCTTGTGCATTGCTATATATATTAAAAAATTGGTCTCATACAAGTCAGAAAAAACTTGATACATGAATATAATTTGTACGATGTGATTGACTGGTTGTGAAGATCATAAAAGTTTTGAAAATGGTGATAAACCAAACCGTGTTTTAAAAAGTGAACTGTGTTTGACTTTGTCGCATGATAGAATTTTGGTCACATCCATGATTCATGTCCATGTTATGAATCTCTTCGATGCTATTAGTTTACACCAACAAGTTCCAAAGACTTGGAACAAAATTTTAAACTCTTTATCTTTACAATAAATTATAGAGTTAGATATACAAAATATCAACTTATTTTAAATTTCATTTTTTTATGTATTTTTTCCATTCATCACAGGCAACATGCTTTAATTTTCTAAAAACATAAATTACAAAAATAGTCTTGTATAGTAAAATTTAAGAAACTCGTTTCCATTCCTTTTATAATAGGGATGGTGCCTTAATGAGAACCCTTTATCCTTAAACCGTCTAACTTCAATTATGGAGTATATATTTTCTAGAACGGTATTTTGAGTATAATAAAATTAAACAGGCTTTTATCGTGTATTTAAATATTAACTCCATAAAAGATTTTATTATTTAGCAAATGACTTCTAGTTTAGCGGTATCAAATGGTGTCCTTCCTTTTTGAGATCGAGAGTGAAGTCTCGTCGTGGACATAAGTGAAATTAAATGTTATTTTATAAGTAAATTAAATTTGCCGGTTAAACGAAATTATTGTTTAATTCAGAAGTGAACGATAGATCAATCTGTATATACTTTTAAATGAACTCTTTTTCTATTCACCACATTCATTTGAAACTTTTATGCATTTTTCATTTCATCACATTCATTTGAAACTCTCATTACTGTTTAATTTCTTTTTAATAATAATTATAAGTTGGTTAATAAGGTTAAATAAATATCAAATCTTAAGTGTAATCATATATAAACTAAATTTCAATATTAAAATAATATTTTACTTCTACTAATAAAGTTATGTTTTTTAAATTTTAACATATCATACTTAATTTATTAGTTTTAATATATTGTTGGATGTAAATCATTATTATTTTAAAGATACAATTTTGGAAGAATTTGTATAAAATACTTTAATTATTAATTTAAATATAACATTATATGGTTAAGTTGAATATAAATTTTAGTTAAATCTAAACAACCTAAAAAATATTTTGTAAATAGTTAAAAATGATATGTTGTAGTGTCTTTCTAATAATGGGTATAAGTTGGTTAATAATGTTAAACAAATATCAAACCTAAAGTGTAATCATAAATAAACTAAATTTCAATTTTAAAATAATATATTTACTTCTACTTATAAAGTTATGTCTTTAACTTTTAACATATTATACTTAATTTATTAGATAAAAAATATTGTTGTATGCAAACCATTATCAATTTAAAGCTACAACTTTTGAACAGTATGAACAATATACTTAAATTGTTAATTTAGATATAATATTATAGTGTTAACGTCATATAAATTTCAGTTTCACTTAAAAAACCAAAAAATATTTTGTAAATAGTTAGATAAATTGTAATGATAAATGCAAAAATTAAACTGTAATCTCAGTTTAACTAAAATATTTCCTAAAGATATTTTTATAATCGTTAAAAGTTTTCAAATAAGTAGCTTAAAAGAACTTACAGTAACAATAGTTAAAAATAACTCTATATAAATCATTATATTGTAACCTTTAAAATCAAAAAACAATGTTTGATGTTTTAAATAATTATAATTATAGAAATTAAAAGATTGAGCAAATAAATTTTTAAAAATTAATTAACAATAACAACTATAAATAACATTAAATCATATATTATATTTAATTTTATTCGTGTATAACTCGCAGGTAGAAGTCATTCAAACTATTGAGATTATATAGTTATAATAGATGTGTATATTATTATATAATTCAAAATAATCAATATATTATATCAATTTAGTATACGAATCATTATATCAAATTTAACAACGTTATTGTTATATTTAAAAAATCATATATTTGTAAAGACTTCAACTATATATGTATTTTTGTGCAACGCGCAGACATTCGCCAAATACCTATATAAAACCAACATATTTAATTTTGGCCGTATTAAAACCCTCTCATAATTTGAATACATATGAAAAACCCACTCATTAATTGAAAACCCATTTATATCACATATGTGACTTTATATTATGTTATCTCTATTATTTCAATTTATAAAAAAAACATTGTCTATTATAACATCCTATATATTAAAAAATATATATATACAACTTATTATAACAACAAAAAACACATAAATTAAAATTTCCAAACTTTCAATTATAGAATAGTTTTTTAGATACAAAGTTAATATATAAATTTTTCGGATTATTAATTAACCTAATAATACAAACTGTGTTTTTCTAATAGTCAACAATTTACTATCTTTCTTCACTTTATTATTTATTTATTGCTAAAGGAAATAATTATCAAATACAACTGGATATGTTGGTAATTTCCTTGGAAGAGGAAGGACAATTTGGTCACAACAGTGGATAAAGCGAAAATTTGAAAACGGGTGGCCGTTTGAAACCCCTATAATAAAAACAACATATACATTCAAAATCTCTCCCATTTCAATAGTCCATACTCACTCAATAGCTTCAACCTAGAGAGAGAGAGAGAGAGAGAGAGAGAGAGAGAGAGAGAGAGAGAGAGAGAGAGAGAGAGAGAGAGAGAGAGAGAGAGAGAGAGTGAGATGACGGGAATGGTAATGCTAACGAGAGGAGCTGGCTGCGGTGGCACCGGTTGTGTTGATGGAAATGAAGCAACAAAAGAAGGAGGTGCTGCTGAAGAAGAACAAAATCAGTTGTCGTTAGTAGCGTTGTTGGTAGCAGCTCTACGGAAATCAATGGTGGCTTGTCGTGTAGATCATGGAGACGATCAGAGCTCGGGTACAACAGCTCTGCATCAGATGGAAATAGGATGGCCAACGAATGTTCAACATTTGACTCATGTTACTTTCGATCGGTTCCATGGATTTTTAGGGCTTCCTGTTGAATTCGAAGTTGAAATCCCCTGTCGCGTCCCTAGTGCCAGGTGAGAATTTTGTTTTTCCTTCTGAACATTTTCATTTTTTTTTTTCTTATCGGATAGCTTAATTTTAGTTTAAACTTGATAAATTTGGATTTTACAACCTCATTAAATGTACAGTGTTACGGATCTAGCGCTTTAAGAGTTTGATTGATGATGAGAAAAGTGTGAATATGGTAAATGTGTAATTTAATATTTGAAAATAGCAGTAAATGCTAGATTTAAAAAACTGGAAGTTCCTGCTCCGATTAAATAATAATTGTGCCTTTCTACAGTAAAATTTTCATATAATTTAAGTTATTTGCACTTTGCAGTTACATTCAGATTCAATTGTAAAGTTATCAAAGAAATTTTAGTTTGATTTAACTTATCATCAAATGACATGTAGAATAATGTTGATTAAAAGTAGAAGCATCAATTCCTTTTTAAATCCAGCAATCAGCACATTCCCATTTGAAGAATGCTCATTCTTATCCAATTGCGCTCCTCTTCTCTGTTCACCTTTCATTTTTGGGAAACGAACCGGATAAAGTTATTACTTTGTGATTGGAAGTACCACGAGTTTGTTTGACGAAAATCTCCTCTTTGCAAGATACAAAAAGACAGATTATGTAAAAACTAAAAGGACTTCTCTTTCCCAATTCCCTTCCCTCACAAACCACAAACCACAAATACTTATTTTCTTTTTTTCTTTTCGTTTCAATTTGTTTAACTTTAATGGAGCTCCTGACTTTATCCATCATGCCTGATCTTTCTGATTATCTTGTTGTTGTCCAGTGTCAGCGTGTTTGGTGTATCAGCAGAATCAATGCAATGTTGTTATGATTCAAGAGGCAACAGTGTCCCGACAATTCTGTTGCTAATGCAGGAAAGATTGTATGCACAAGGAGGTCTAAAGGTATGTGTATAGTAATTCCGTTTTTTTAATCAACCATTCATTGTCTTGAAATTTGATTTTTTTTTTTATTTTTTTATTATTATAACAGGCAGAAGGAATATTCCGTATAAATGCTGAAAACAGTAAAGAAGAGGAAGTACGTGATCAGCTGAACAGAGGCATGGTGCCCGAAGACATTGAGGTTCATTGTCTTGCAGGTTTAATTAAAGCCTGGTTTAGAGAGCTACCATGTGGTGTTCTTGATGGGCTTTCTCCTGAACAAGTACTGCAGTGTAACACAGAAGACGATTGTTGTGAGCTTCTCAAACATCTGAAACCAACAGAAACTGCACTTCTCAACTGGGCAATTGATCTTATGTCTGATGTTGTTGAGCAGGAAGAATTTAATAAAATGAATGCCAGAAATATTGCCATGGTTTTTGCACCCAACATGACTCAGGTAAGTAAATGCAAATCCTTTTCATTTCATGTCCTTTCTAAATATAAATCAAGTACCATATAAGTACGTTTTGAATTATTTGGTTTGGATGGAAGGACTAAATATTAAATTGATACGATTAATCAAACCTAACATTTCTTTCGCTTTTTATTATTAAAAATTATGGTGCGATGACTAAAATATTCAATGATTCATTTATCAATCAGATGTCGGATCCATTGACAGCCCTAATGCACGCAGTACAAGTGATGAACCTGCTGAAAACCCTAATCACAAAAACACTGCGAGAGCGAGAGCGAGAGTGTGAAGAAAGCAGCAGCTCAACCACAACCACAGATGGAGAATACTCGCCCATGTCATGCCGATCCCACAGTCGAACAGACGAGAGTCAGGAAGAGATGGAAACCAGCGGTGAAATGAGAAGACAGCCATCATCAGAAGATGGAGAAGATGAAGATGAAGATGATGTGGAATCACTGAGTGAGATAGAAGAAAGTTTCTTGAAACGATTGATGGAGAATGAAAATGCAAAAGACTGTTTCAAGAATGAATTGGGGAATTTGGTGAAAGGGAGGAGGACTAGTCCGACTAGTGGATTTGAATTCCAGGAGGAATCGTCTTCGTCTGTGATGAGTATGGCTGATGGATATGTGTCGGGTGTGAGTGAGGCGGAGTTCATGAATAAGGTTGAAGTGAAGTGAGATTTTAGGGTATGCATGAATATTCTTATTTGTGTAAATTAATTAATTTAGTAGAAGTTGTGGTATGATGTATGATTTGGATTGTGATGTTTGTTTCAGACTTGTGGTCAAAGTGTTTGTGGTTCAGCTGGGGGCTGAACATGTTTTGTGGAGGTCTTTTAGCAGCTATAGATTTGTAATTTTTTTTTTTTTTTTGAATTTTGGTTGGTTACCCATAAAGGGGGATGAATAATCAAAGTAGTTGTAATTGCTTTTATTGGATTTAAGAGTAACGAACAACCTTCCGTCTAATTTGTCTTGTTCCATGAAATAAAATATGATTATTATTTTAATAAGTTTTGCATCAGGAACACTGTCTATATACCCTTGGTTCGTTTCATAAAATTAAATAATTAATCTAAAACCATTTTTTTAAATAATATTTCAGATTTTTAAAATTTGGAAATTACCAAACCAGTGTCGGGCTGTAGTGTTGGCATACACAAGGAACAGCCCGAGCCATTTAGACCAATAGCACAACATGTCTCATTAGTTTATTTTTCTATTGTAATTCTACCACGTACTGTTCTTTTTTTGCATTTTGACACATTTATTGGTTTGCTTATAAACAATTTGATTATTAATACCCTAGTCGGTTCAAACTTTCCAAAATATTTCAAAAGTGATGGTTAGAAGCTGTTTGATAGCCTCCAATTGGAACCATTTGAATTAGTCAATTAGTCAACATTCAATGCGTTTGATACATCCATCTTATTAACAACCAATGATCTGAGCAGTTAAGGAACCCTACCTTCTCTTAATCATTAAGATGTAATTATTGAGCATTAAATGGTTCAGTTTTATCAGATAACCACTTCTTGACGACTCATGAGTTGCGACTTTGCAAATTAATACATACACAAGCTGCAGTTTCCATTCCTTTGCTGCCAAAACCACTTGCATGGGGACGAAAAGCAATAACAGAGAAAACAAAGCCATTATTAACCATTTTATAATATGTTTTTTCTAATCATTAGTTATTTATAAAAGCAAAAAGTAACGTACAACAAGGTGTTGGTGGGTCAACTTGACCTGTTTTGACCAATATAAAGCTTTCCCATTTTGCCACCCTACTAATATTTTTACGAGATTGAAGATTATGCTCATTCAAATGATAACAAACCAAAACAAGTTTACATGATTATGTACAATTGTGAAGAAAGGATTATCAGCTGTTAATCAAACATATATAAAAGGGAGCATAAGCATAAGTGCATAACCGTTAGTCTCTTTCAATTTGTTTCACATGTGAAAAAGACGTACCTTACAAGCAGCCAATTGTTGAAATAGTCAAAAAACAGGATCATGATTGACTTTGTGATAGAATGCTTTGAGAAAGGACCTGAAGATACACCTTGGATTCACTCAGAATCATGTAACACTTAAAATTGTGCTTCACCTGTAAAAAAAAAGCTTAAATGGTTTATCAGCACTCTATTAAACATGATTGAATTTATCATCATTGTGCTACATATTAAATAAATTTCATTTAGATAATTCCCATATATTTGCAATTTAATATTTTCATTCAAAACATTTATCAAGTAGTCAATTTTCATAACACAATAACTCCAGACAGAGGGGTAGAACAGTCCTTTACTATCAAGTAATACACCTAAAAGTAAATAAAATTGGCAAAAGAATAATGAAGCAGTTGACAAGTTTACAACAACCTGTTTGGAGTTTTCATGCAGAAGCATAACGGAAGAAAGTAGATTCTTCATTTCTGGAGAAGCTGATGATCAAATCAGTTATGGAGTTTAGAGGAGTCTTAAAACAAGGTTACTTACACTGCAAAGTGCAAAGAATGTTGTTTGCAGATAGATAGATAAAAGAATGAATATATTGAAAGTCAATGACTAAATGAATTTAATAATATGTTACACAATTACAGATTACAAAGGCACACGGATTAAGAAAAGTATTACAATAGTGTCAGGGATTTGTTTCACTACAAGTGTCAAGTGGGAGAGAGTGAATATCCACATCAGTAAATCTTGTTTTGTTTGTTGTCTCTTTTAAGTTGAACCTTCAACTTCTTACCACCTAACTGGTATCCATTCATTGTATTAATTGCAGATTGTGCAGCATTCGGGGACTCATAACTCACAAAACCTGCTCACATGTCATGCCATAAACAATTAGACACACAAAAAGCATTTGCAATGGAATTTAGATTAAAGTTTGTTCATATCATATCATACCAAAGCACTTGCTGACACCCGTTGACTTGTCAACAAAAACTTTGGAACTCAAAACTCTTCCAAATGATTGAAACGCATTTGCAAGCTCTTCATCCCCAAATTCTTGAGGGATGTGATAAATAAATAGATTAGCGCCAGGTGGACCTGCAACTTGGAAAAGAGACACTACTTAAATATACAATAATCCCCAAACTCCACCTCCTTCTTTATTATTCTAACAAATATTATAGTATATGATTTAACAAACTAGAAATACATAACATTGAAACTTGAAGGAAGGACCAGATGATAAAATACATAAAAGATGTTTAACTACCTTCAACATGGTCAGCAGCAACAGTTGAAGAAGTTGCAGCATGATTCTTGGAAACTTCTGGTGGTAGAGGACTGGAAGGCCCACTGAAAGGCCTCAATCCCCCGGGGTAGGCCACAGGATACTGAAGCCTAGGAGGCATAGCTTGATAGGCAGAGCCCATGTAACCACCAGTTGGGGGACCCACTCCCACATAGTTTCTTGGAGAGCCTCCACGAAATGCATTTGCTTGATTTGGAGATAGATTAGCGAAAGGTGGTTGCATGAGCCCATAAGTTCCAGTAGCCTACTTACAAAATCAACTCTTAATCACATATACTCTCAATGCCAAATGCCAAAAAAAGCAACAAAACAAGCACAAATGAAATAAAACCTGGTACCCATAACCATTGTATGGTGACATATAACCCATTGGAAGTGCTCCAAATAAAGACGGATGCTGTGTTGGGTCAATATTTGCTAAAGACTGAGCTTTCTGAGCTTTTCTAGCTTGTCTTTCCTTTTCAGTGTCTGCCCATTTAACAACCAAAGGGACAGTTGAACCCTAATACACAACAACAACAACAAAATACAAAGCAAAATTACACCTACATAAACTACATGGTTATTCCCTGCAATTCACACAAATACAAACCTCCATCTTGTGTTTTCCATTGAGGCCCTCTATAGCAGCAACAGCTTGTTCTTTTGTCTCATACTTCACAAAAGCACAGCCTGCCATAATTCATAATTGTGATTCCAAAACATAAAACCAAAAAGTGTGTTACAGAATCAAAGGCCAGAATATATCATAATCATATGTACCTTTGCTTGTTTGTTGAGAACCTCTAAGAATCTGCAAGTCTTTCAGGGTTCCATATTGTGAAAATAATTCTGAAACTTCACCTTCGGAGACATTCTTAGGAAGCATACCGATGAAAAGCTTGTGTTCTTGAGCAAAAGGTAAATAAATATAAATAAAAAACTAGCCAGAGAAATTAGTATTAGATAATTGAATAACAATCTGCAATAAATTAATCAAAAAGCATGGCATACCTAGCCGTTCCAATTCGCCATCAGCATATTTCACTTGCAGTGGACTAGATGCCTGATGTATAACAAAGGACAAACCTCACCAGATCAAGAAATGGAACATCAATATCATATTATTGTAATTGTTTATGTTGATAAAATGTCATTATTTAAATCATTATCATATCACATTGTAATAGTGTATATCTTTTGAAATAATTAATGTTGTAACCATGCAAGAGAAACTAAATAGGCAACTTTAAATGAGTGTCTCAAAGCAAGGATGATGTCTTGTAAAGCAAGTTGCTCCAGTACGTTTATTTTGACTATGGGAACTTTACTGAACTTTATGTTTTAGTTTTTTATAACAACAAAATTACAAAAGCAAATGTAATCAAAGCCCCTTTCAGTTGAGGAAATCATGCATTTGAGTGCACACATATGTAAGAAACAAGTTACATTAAGGTGAAATTTCACTCCTATACATATACAATATTACAATTCTCTTCTTGGATTTGCTTTCTACCTCACCATCAGTACAGTGGTTTCTCATGAATTTTTAATTTATCTCAATGTAGATCCAAACTTTTTTCCTTCAATCTAATGAAAGTTGCAACATTTGTTTTAGCATGCATTTTAATTAATATGTTGACTGCTAGTTCAGAATACCATTTGATAATGACAAAAGAAAATACAAATTAGCATCACGAGTCTAACAAAGCAATGACCAAGTCCGCAATTTAAAGTAAAAAATATTTCAAGAAAAACTTCGCAATTTCATAAGATATCCTAAAAATAGAAATGGTTACAATTTCCATGATATCCCAAGATAGAAAAAGGTTGTGATTTTAATGTAATGGAGGGATTACGAAACAGTTCTTTCTCATTCAACTTTCCACCAACCAGGTGAATTCTCACTATGCATTATATGAACTTCTTTACCAACTGTGATAAAAATAAAATCAGCTTGAACAATGAAGATAAAGATCTGAAGAGATTATTACCCCAGGCAGGGTTTTCTTATTATGAAACCCATCCACGGCCTTGTCTGCTTCCTCCCTAGACGGACATATAACAAAGCAACAACCTGACAACAACAGCCAATTAGGGTTTCAATCAAAAAACTTGTCAATGAGTCAACACAAATCTCGGTACAGTAAAATTCAAATAAAAAACGAATTATAAACAACAACGTGAATCACGCATTGTGATCCGGAAGTAACATTGACGAAAAACGCGAAAATGAGGAGAGATTCATTGGAGCGAAAGAGTAAGAGATTCGGTAAAAGAAGTTAACCTCGAGAAGCTCGCGTGGCCTTGTCTTTGATGATGTTGACTTCGTCCACAAGAGCAAGCTCTTTGAACATTGCTATAAGTTGTGCCTCCGTCATATGCTTCGGAACTTGGCCGACGAACAGCTTCACACTATCGTCGCTGTGTTTTCGCGGCATGTGACCTTCCTCCATTAATGCCGTTTCTTTCTCTCTCTCTTCCTCTCGGTGATCTCGAACTTTCTCTGTCTATAACTTTCTCTCTCTACTCTTGAGAGTCTTCGCTGTTTGGAGTCCTGTTTGGGGAAAATGGGTAAACTTTCTAGGAAAGAGAAATATATACATTTGACCCGTCAACAATAGCACAAATATTCTTTTAGCCCCATACTAACTATTTATTCATTTTTACCCCATGTAGATTTGAGAGCAATTGCCATTGAGGTGTTTTTTTCGGTTTTTTATTTATTGATTTTTTTATATTTTAAATCTAACAATAACAAAACTAAATAAAATTCGGTTTAATCAGTTTTGGTTTATTTGGTTTGGTTAATTAGTTAATTCGAATAAAATCTCACACGTAAAAATAAATATTAAATTAAAAGAAAAAAAATTACTAAATTATTACCAAATAAAGAAAATACACTAATATATAATATATTACATTCAATCTTTCAATAATGTGTTGTTTTGAAGAGACATGCACACACAATTTGTAAAGATATATTAATATAAATTTAATCATATATGAAGATGAGATAAATGACCGATGGTTAATTAACATTTGGTTAATTTGTTTTTGTTTTTTGATACACACTATAAAACAAATACAAATTTATAATTGTTAATAACTAAATAATAATCTATGAAAATCTTAGTAACTAATCAATAAATTTATTATATATATATATATATATATTAAATAACTTATCCGGTTTAACCAAAAACCAAACCAAATAAGATATTTCTATTCGGTTAACCAAACCGAATTAAAACCAAATAATCCGAACAAAAAAACAAACATCATTTGGTTCGTTTTGGTTTTTTTATCATTCCCCTAACTGCCATCATTGCTTACTACCTAATTTATACCTTGTTCATCATGACATTCACTAGTCACTTGATGATCTATATCGAGTTATCAAATATCAACCCTTACTCAAACCCCTTAGTAATGAAGGGTTATTATTAAAATCATTCCAAATATTTAATTTTGGTAATTACAAATTTACAATGATTTATAATTTGTTAAGTTTATTGGCACAATTCTAAATGAAATTCTAGCCACACTAATTGATTATGTCAACTATCTTGAACTTTATATCCACCACCTAAAAATATATAAATATGGTCTTGAATGCCTCATGACTTTTGAACTTAATACATGTAGAACTAGTTTTAAATTCTAGCCACACCAAAACACCTCCCACATTATGAACTTCCATGTCTAAAAGCTCTTTTGATTGACTTCCTAGTTCAACCTCCCAATTTCCAATATGGCACGCATCTAAACCGGTGTAATGCATTCAATATCAGGTAGCTCCAAGATCACCATGTCCTTATCTTTTGATTCACTTGAAGTTAAAATTTTATGTCCATTCTTTCCTACCACAACCTCTGTAAAAGACCTAGATCGGTCATTATTTGATTGGTTTCTTTCAAAGTTATAAATTCCACTGTCTCTTTCTTATTGTTTCGGATTACACATGTTTTAAACCTTATTTTCATTCCAAGTGCAACGAACCAATTTCCAGAATAAGTTTTTCATTTATAGAATAAACACCCATTCTTATAAGGTTACATTCAAGTCAAACCAATTGCTCATAAACCATAATTCAAAACCAGAGTTATAAGGAAGACAATGCGGAATCTCGAATCATAACACTATTAATGTGTGTGTACAGTCATGTCATCTCAAACTGATAAGTACCTGGAAAACATTTAGTCCACAACTGTAAGCACAAGGCTTAGTGAGTTCCATGAAATATCACATACAACACAGCATAATAATCAGTTATGGGTTATCAGCAACCATGGGACTATCAACAGTCCTAAATATCACATTTAGCACAACAATATTAAACAACTACAGGTTATCAGAAACCTTGTGGGTTGTCAGCAGTCTTGGAGTTATCAATAACTCATGTACACATATAACAGCAATCAACAAATAAGACCTAGCTGGTCTAGCTTGTACACCACTGTGATATAGGTAATATAGAGAGAATACTCACCTAAATTAAGAATTGAAATCCATTACTCAAAGTGCCATAGAATCAACTACATGAACGTCCTAAAGCATTCACAAACTAAACCTCATACTATAGCTCAACACCTCTCCAAGTTTGACCAAAAATCAAACTGGTTAAAAATTCAACAGTCAAAGTCAACTTTAGGTGACCTCCATGTCGTGGATACCCAAAGGCCACATCGTGGCTACAATATGACAAAACAGTCATGGTGATACCAGCCTCCACGTTATGGCGAACAACATGTCATATCGTGGGAACTGGTTCTAACAGCCTAATGGGTTAAGCACTTAACCCTTATAGACAAGCTTCCACATTTTTAGATATGGTATCTAATAACTTCATAATGGATAAAGTTTCCAACTTTATCCGTTAGGATGGTCCAAACAACCAAGAATCTAAACGTTAAGTCTCAATGGACTAATAATGCATCTTTCTCACTTAATCCATTAACTACAAGTCTCCAACCTTCATATCTGAAACAACCTGATGTTTAAATGGATAAAGTTTCTAACTTTACCCATAATAATGACACAAACATCCAAAATCTAAACTTTAATACACCAAAATGACCTAAAGGAGCAAAATAACTTGCATGGTTTAATGGGAAGTCAAAAGTGTTGGATTAAGGTGTCTAAGCTCATAACTAAATTGATATAAACTTGCAAATTGAAGCAAAGTCCTTTTTGGGTTTCCCTCATAACCAAAAATAACTAGAAATGATATTAGGATAGGGGAGAAATGAGTTGTTGATATATTATGTGATTAATATAGTAATTGGAAATAGATAATTGATTCGTTAAGTTGTTATGTGATTAATCAATTAACATGAGATCAATAGTTAAATAATTTATTTGGTAATTTATATAGTTAATAAATTAATAAGAAAACAAATAGAATTAATTAATTTTTAATCATAATTAATCAGGAATTAATTTGGGACTAACTGGAATAAGTCAAATGTGCAAGGGGTGAATTGTAATTGTTCAATAGTTGAACAAAAGAATACAATTCTAGAATCATATAAGGGTGGAGGGTTTTGGAGATCTTTTAGGGTTTCTGGAAGCCTTCTAAATACAGATAAGGAAATGATTTGAATTATGATTAAATCTATTATTTAATTAATTAAAATATTGTTTTCCTACTAGTTACCTAAACTATAAATAGGACCCTAAGACCAACAACTTTCATTAATACCTTTATCATAAGGCCTAGGAATGGAATTTCCTTCTCCTCCCTCTCTCTCCTTATCATTCTAGGGTTTCTAGGGTTTTTGGTACAAACCATTAGAGGTACTAAACTTTTGGTGCTTTCTTTCTAAGGTTTTCAATAAGGATATTGGTGTGATTATTTGTTATACGTGTAACATCCCAAAATTTAAGACCAAAAATTTCATTTTTAGTTTAATAATTTATAAAAATAACAGTATAAAAACATCCATAAAATATCCCATGTCAAAACCAAAGTGTCAATAATCAAAACATGTTATCATAAAACAATATCAGAGTGCAATCCCAAAGATCTCATGTACGGAAAACATAGTGTGATGCGTTACGATCGAGCCAACTCCTTTCCTTTGAAAACGAATTACCTGAAACCAAAAATGAAAACTGTAAGCACGAAGCTTGGTGAGTTCCCCTATCATACCACATACCATGCAATCACATACTGTCAAGCATACCCAGGTGCCCGACCTACCCCATGCTAGACATATCTAGGTGCCCGACCTACCCTGTTGAGTATATCGAGGTGCTCAACCTACCCCTGTCAGACATATAGGGGTGTCCGACCTAGCCCTCTAGTTATCTCAACCGGTTACGGGGACTATTTCACCCCCTACTACTAGCACATAGAAACACAACATAATCATACTGTCAGACATACTGGGGTGTCCGACCTACCCCTTGGACCTATCGGCTAGATATGGGGACTATTCCCTCTACTACCACTATCACATAACATCATATCATGAACATACTGCTAGGCATGCATGGGTACTAACTACCCCTTCGGTATCTTTCAACCGGTATCTGGGGACTATTTCACCCCTACTACTACTAACACATATATCAGAGCATCCTAACACATAGAGCATATCAAATAGTTGCAAACCAGATAATTATCACAAAGACAATCATCTCATACATAGTCACCTACCGGTAGGTCGGCATTGGTGCCTTAGACCCACCTCTACTAGAAGGTAACTCATCTCACACTGCTGAAGTCTCCCAAACACAACCCTAGCTGTTGGATGACAGCTTCCTGAACTGTCAATATCAAGACAACAACCAATTAATAATTGGGTTCCAACACAAAAATCATAAATCCATGCTTGGGGTAAAAGACTGTTTTACCCCTATCGTAGCTTAATTCAACTCAAGGCCCAATCCAAAGGCCCAAAAGTTAAACTATGAATCAAAGCCCAGTATATGGCCCAATTTTCCAAATTGGGCCCAAAACTTTACATGGTCCAGTCCAACATTTGGCATTCAAATGACCCAATATCTCATAATCATCGAGGCCTAAATTATAGCCTATCAATGGCCCAATTTTCCAATTTGAACCCAAACCATCATGTGGGCCTTACCCTAAAGCCCATTCATATATATTTTAGTCCATAAAGTTGTTCTAGAATGGCCCATTAATAGCTCAATCACCAAAGCCCTATGGAAAGGCCTAACTCAAGGCCCAAGTGAAATTAGGGTTTCGTATAAAATGACAATTAGGGTTAAGTGTTTCTCACTTAACCAATTTAGGACTTAATCCATTATGTTAATCACTCTACTCGATAAGTCATATGGTGTGATTGGGTGTAATTCACAATTCTATTGCAATGGTCCAAATGTGGGTCCCAATAAGTCCAAGGTCCATATATCCAAAATTAGGGTTTTCTAAACCCTAATTAGGGTTTCCAACCCAATCATAGCCCAATAGGCCCAATAACCAGGTCTTTTGATCAACTAAGGTTCATTAGGCCCATTAGGGTTTCACTAGGCATGTTAGGGTGTAACATACACGTTTTGAAATCGTGTTTTAAGTAAATAATAATATGAAAT